TATGAATTTCAATAAAGCAACAATTCCAAGTAGCAACGCAATATTGATTTCTTTTTGCTCGGTAACAATAACAAATAAGCAATTGAGACCACTTCTTACAAGGGGTACCTAACTAAGTTACTAACGCCTACATGTATTTTATTTTTCAAAGAAAAGCTGACTTTTTGATAAGATATTTCATACTAAATAAACAAGACTAGACAGCTACTCAATCTGAAGTGTTTACTACTCTCGAGAGAATATATTTTATACATTTTCGGGATGACATAAGTGTCCGTCTAACTGTCGAACAATTTTCCAGAAGAAGAGAAAAGATCTCTTCTTTTATGTATGTACTTTTATGTATATATTTATCGTCAAGCACGTTTGACGATATGGTGTAAACAGTAAATGTTCTAAACTGACGGAAGTTGTCGTAACCTTTGGGTTGCCGCCAAAAATATCCCTATTACGTGACGTCATCGCCGCATGATGTATGTATACTCCGTACCCACGATTTGAGGACATTACGACTTGTTAAATGAGATCGTTACGAAGGTAACATTTGATAACGCATTATGACTGACGTACACATGGGGGCTGAAAAACTAAAAAGGTTTTGATGGATCAGAAGTAAGAAGAAAAATCTGCTTTTAAAATGTTTCTGCGTTGCCATAATCCATCTGCAATAGAACAGATAACTTTGGATGGGGCAAAGTTTTTATAAAGTAAAATATACATTCGACTTTACTTGGCCCTTCGAATACCACACTATGTCTATGTTTGTGGTATTAGAACACGTGTAATGAGTAACTTGGTAGTGTTGATAGAGTTGACAATAGCCTGTGATCTCTAAGAACGTCAACTTAAACAAACACTTATTTGGCAATATTGTGATCTAATACAACAAACAATGATTGCTAGTATTGCTACACTACGCAGCTTTAACCGAACAAAGCAAGGTGTGAAAACCGTTCCCTTTTTGTAAACATTTATTTTTACTGCAAAGGTAAAACTGTACAAACTATAACGTTTAATACTTATGTATATATTATTTGTGTTGTAATTATCGAATGCCCGAATCTGTATTTTGTGGTCCTTTTACGCAACCATTGTCCGAAATCCAACATTGTTTAAATATTTAATGCATTATTAAGAATTTACAAAATAAACGTATTATTTTGTCTACTTAATCTAAAAGCTACCTAATGTTTTACTATACTATTTACGTGGTATTCATTTTCCGAGGTTTTTTTTTAGTAAAACAATCAACAATTTGAACCAAATTTTAGTAATTGGATAGGAAAATGACACATGTTATTTTAAGGTTTTCCAAAAACAAAAATACTATAAAGTTTTCTTTTTTTATCAGGAAAAAAATTAGGATTTTCCTCAATTACAAACACCGATAGAAGATGATTCAGTGAGAAATAATACTTAGTATATAATAATTGATTATAAAATTTTTTTTATGGATAATTTAACTAGGAATTAGCACTTGTCTTACCATTATTAATTATCTGGGAAAAATATATTTGTAAACAATAGAAACATTGCAAAACTAAAGCTACTTAGAAATCTTACCTTTACCTACTACAATTTTTTTTGCGGTCATTTTCGAAAAACTGGTTATGCGTGTTTCTCTAAAAAAATATGTTATAAATTGATCAACTGACCTATTGTAACACAATACGAGTTGGTACTAATCCGTATGAATGAACATTGAAATTAAATATTCCAGTTCTAAGTTAATTAAGTACATATGTACTTAATTAACTTATGGTGGCAGATAGGCACTCGTACCTACTTAGAACCAAACGGGTTACCGGTGCTCCGGCTCGACGTGCAGGAGAAGTAACGGGGTGGTTTTTAGTCAGTAAGAGTTTGACACTCCCTCCCGCCTCACCCAGGTGGGAGAAGTTATTCGATGATTTTCCTCCCTTAAAAAAAGGCACAAAGTGTTCAACCAATTCAATATACGTAGGTACCTACGTGTTATAATTACATATTCATGGTTCATCATTACCATCACTCCGTGGCATCCCATTACTGGATTATGATTCTACATGAAAGGGGTTCGCATAATCTCAACGTTTGGAAGCCAGGCTCGCACAATAAAATCAAGATAAACCTATATGATTATATTGCTGATACTTCATCAGTAACATTGTTCTACATTCTACTAAAACTGCTCGTTTGAACAACAAAGACGAGATAAGAACAGAAGGACCATTGAATTTGATAAGTTTGTTGTTGCTTTATTCTTATTATTCATCTTGTCATTTATGTTTGCCATTTGTTTGTTTAGTCGAATAGTCAGAAGAAAATGTCTTCTACTTTGCTGCCGTGGTTACCAAACAAATTAAGCTGAACAGGAACTTCATTTCAATTAAGAAATATTCATCCTACCTATCCGTTTAAATTGAAGTTACCATCCTGCAATGAAACATTCTAAGGTTCATTAAAAATCACAATCTTACCTACATACCTACTTATAAAAACACAAAATGTCTACGTTAAGTCATAATTAAATCAAAAATTCAAACTGGTCCTTTGGTTCGCATTCTCTAGTGTGTTATCAAGGTGGCTTTACCAAGTCACGTGACGTTGAACATGCGTTGTCTCAGTCTTGGTGGACTGAGTTGTGTTTCCCCCATAACCGGTCGTAACCAGCCAAAACCCGACTGAAGTCTTCGAAACGAACCTCGTAAGGTTTTATGTGTTTCACATAACGGAGTCACGGAGACGCTTTTGTTCATGTTCAAGCCAAGAACTAGCATGCAAACTGACTAATAAATTAATGTATTTGGAAATAAATAATATCTCGATACTCTAAAGATGGTTTATTTTTGTAGTAGGTAACCGTGTCATTTTTTGTGTCAATGATGGTAGATGACGTCATTTTAGTGCTAGACATGGGTCGAGATAATTAATGAATGATGTTTGTCTTGTTCAATTAAATAGAAAATGTAGTCTTTATAGTATATGTGGTGTCATTATTTCAGCGTTAGAATAAGAGTTTTGAATGCAAAAACTGTAAAGGCAACAAATATATTATAATTTCTTAGTTGGTAACAAAACTCGGTGTCATACTCGGTGTCAAAATTGAATGGTACTTACTGCATTGTACTAAATATTGAAATAAAAAACCAGAAAATTAAAGAGTCTGACCGAAGCATGTAGTCGTAGATAAATAATCATTGGACCATCGAAGCAATTAAAATTATGTATTCGTTCACGAAATCATCCCTGATTCTTCCAAACTACCCAACAAAATTAATGTTTTAGGTATCCTTGAATTACTTTATTATTAATACAAATTAACAGAGAAAATAATAAAGGGGTCTATCAGACTCTAGCTGACTAAAACCACCATGATGCCCCATATCTTTGTTATATTAAGTGTGGGAGAGCCATGCTTCGGCACGAATGGGCCGTCTCGACCGGAGTGATACCACGGCCTCACAGAAAACCGACGTGAAACAACGCTTGCATTGTGTTTCGTCGTGTGAGTGAGGTTACTGTAGGCCCAATTACCCTCCCCTTCCCAAATCTCCCCAATCCCTGAATCCCCAACGATCCTCAAACTCCTAATCCTCAAAATGCCGATAACGCACTTGTAACGCTTCTGGTATTCCAGGTGTCCATGGGCGACGCCGATTGCTTACCATCAGGTGATCCGTCTGCTCGTTTATCGACATATGCCATAAAAAAAGAAAAAAAAATATATCTTACAGTGGGTACAAGGGTACGGGAAACGAGAACCACATTTTGACGGCAGCCAACTGACAGCCAAACTAGTTCAAAGCGGATTTGTTTATTTATTAAACAGAAGGCCAACTAATTAGTCATCTCATAAAAGTCCTTACAGTCTCAAAGTACACGTGTAATCTTCATCAATAAACATCGGAAGTCGACTGTCTAGTGGCTATCAATTACATTCTATATAGGACTAGCAACAATTTGTTCATCACAATTACTGTCTGGCTGATATCAACTATTGGTAACTAGCTATCTAATAAGACCCTTAATATTTAAACGAGGAATTTGTGAAATACAAGGGATCTTCATATTTAGTTTAAGTAAAAAAACAATACATCGTTGTCTAGACAAGTGGTAATTAAGTTAAACTTAGTTCAAATCATTTTTAGGCTGTTGACTTTAATTTAAAGTGCAACCTGCTACACGTACCTGAAGTACTTGGTGAACAGATTCTCTACAACCGTATTCTTATATGAGGTTTTAAAAAAAAAATCGATCAAAGGAAATTTCGCTTTAGAGGTAATATAGAACCTAAGTTATGATATTCCCCAATCTCCCCAATTCCTGAATCCCCAACAATCGTTAAATTCTTAATTTCCCAAAAGGTATTCCAGTCCAGGTGTCCATTGCTTATCATCAGGTGATCCGTCCGGTCGTTTCCCGGCTAAGTCGGGAAAACAACTAAGTACTTGATTCTTCATTGCTTTTCCACAATTATAAGATTCCTATCTAGTTGAATGACTGTGTCTAGTCTAGATGTAACACTGACAAAAAGAACAAACAAGATTAGTAAAGAAATTAAAACAATAGGCAAACGAAAGTGAAAATTTTCCACCAGCCACCTCATTTATTTTGGTTTTGATGTTACCTATTTACTGAACAAACATAATATTTTCTTTAGTTATTTCACACAATTTAGGGGAGACAGAAGCGTAGCTAGACGTACTTATAGTCATTACATTAATCTTGTATATACCTATGTCTAAAGAAAACGTTAAAGTAATTAAGTAGAGTACAGAGCCTGATAACATAATGTCGTGTTAGCTGACTATTACTGGCCACAAAAAATTTCATATATGAAATATAATCCCTAGAGTTGTGTAACGTGTACTTCACTACTCCTACATTATGAAAACAGTTGTAATCAATTAAATTAACCTGTTAAGTTTGTTGTTAAATGACTAGTATAGTTTAAATATTTTTTTTTTCTGATTTGACCAAGCTAGTGTTACTTAATATTTTTCTTTCTTTCTTTTCAGATATCGTGCGAAACAAAATTATGTGGTTTTGGGCAACAACAAGGAAATATTTCGTCACAATAAAGCTACGAGAAGTAGTGTCGTACAAGTGTAGCTTCCGGTAGTCTACCGACTTAACATCAATATGGAAGAAAATAGGTAAGTTATCTACTTATTTCAACATGGCTATTTAACCTATGTATAATTCTTAAATTAGATTAATAACTTAGAATGAACCTGTTACCAGAAAGCCCTTATTGAAATAAAAAAATGGTCCTTTTTGGTCCTTCGAAACGCATAATTTGTTTCGATGCAACTTAACAAAAATTTGATCTATATGTATTTACATATCCGTGTCTTTATAACTAGGTTCACTGTTTCCGCTGTGGAGGGAGAATCCAAGAAGAATGGTATCCATATGGGAGCTAATATCATCACCAGACCTTTACGAACGTCTGCTGAGACCGTAGAACGAGGGACGGGAAACAATGCCCAATCAGATACCTGGTTGCATGACGCTGGATGGAGAAGAAAACGGTCATTGGCTCAACTTACCAGAGAAGCTCTGCCGCGATTGGATAATTATAGGAATTCTAAGAGAGCTTTAAAGAGGCCAAGTCTTGGAGAGTTACATGGAGATCATCTTATTACTGAAGAGGTAAGTTTAGAAGGCCATAAGCAAATTAGCCTTGAAATCCTCAAACCGTAATTATTTTGTGAATTCTCACCAAAAACCCAATGTCATCTCGTGCAGCACTCGTCATTATGATTATTGATCTCATACAATCAAAGTGTCGTTAGCGGTTATAGGTACAACATTTATATCAGCGTTCAATGTTTCGCCGTATAGGAAAGAATTATGTATCATTACAGTGGTTTTGCCATGATTATAAAAATAATACGATTTTGGGAAATATTTCTTTTTGTAGAACATTTTTGTTTAAAGCAACTTAAAACTGTGACGCACTTGTTGTCATTAAAAACGACTATCCACTACATTCTAATATTATTATACAAAATCCTTCTTTTTATATTTGGCAACCGAGTTTATACAAAATTATATTTGTGTTCCAAAAATGTTTTTCGATAATAAACTTACGGAGGTATTATCATTAATTTAAAATTTAGTTTCAAAATTTTCCATAGTTGCAGAATTAGCATATCTATCGAAGACATAACTATTATAATTATATTTGGTATTTTATAACGTCTTATTATCTTATCATCATTATTATGTGTGACTTTACCATTCACGGGACCACAGGGTTCCGGTCATTTAGGAGGCGTACGAGGGCCCGAAGCCAACTACGCAGAGGCCCTTTAGACAACTTTAAATGTAATGGACACACAAACCGGTGACTATCCCTGTATGCATTATGGAAATGCGCCCAAGGATAGTCCTCGGTTAGTGTAGAACTATTAGATAATGGAAAAAAAGGTAGGGCCAAAAATTATTATTATGTTTGATTCCTTTTTAAGCTCGGCTACAGTGCCAGATTTGAGGGCTAGTACGGGCCGAAGCCAAGTGCTAACCCACGTGGACGTTTCAATTTTAGGTTGGGGTGTATGAAACTTTGTCAATTAATAAAAAATGATTATTATTAGCCCATTTTTATATGGCTGGATATAGGCATCTCAAATAGTACGTTGTGGAGCTTGATTTTGGCTTCCACGTCCTTCGTAATAAGGATTAGTTACTCCTTACAGTTGCTAGTTGCTATCCGTATTGTTATAACGATAACTATCTGATCTGCCTGCACTATTATACTAACAATGCACAATAAACTTATATGGCTATGATTTGTAAAGATAGCATTTAATGAAACTCCAGTCTGAATACTATAGTATAGGTACAGTATATTATGCACTGGATGGTATTGTCTAAATAGTTTAAAATGATATATTCCTTTTCGAGTTTTATTTGTCAAAAATTAAACAATAGTTATCTTTTCATTCCAGGTTTAATTCTTTGACTTTACTATTGAAACTGTATTTCAGTCGAACTACGATAAAAAGATGTTAGTCTCTCTAATGTCTGTAGGACCTGAAATATTTTCAGGTTGGGAAAAGTTGTACTACTACAGTCGATTTCGATTCGAATAGTTCTTCAGCTTCATTGTATTAAATTAGTATAAACAAATATGAAATAAACTGCTCTAAGAACAAAGCATCAGCCCTTTCAATAAGTAGGTACACACGTTGGTCTTGCATACAATCCGGCGCATCTATTTTCTCCTGATTAATTGTGCTAACAAACCAAGCAGGTTTATGTGCTTATTGTATTTATACAAACAGTCAGTAATAGACTAGTTTATGTTTCATATATCAGATTCAAAGAATGCCACATTATTATAATTATGTTTGCAAATAAGGTGGATGTTGACGTATAAAACATTTTCAGTTTTCCCTGAAAAGGAAAAGCGAGGGTGAATAGTAGGCCCACAGAACAGTAGACTTAGTTTTGGTGTTATTAATTCAACTAGACATTCATTTTGTTCTTGTGGCCGTAAGTGCTGCTGAGCCCGACCTTGGCGTAAGCTTTTTATGTTTCTTACGTACGAGGAATTACCGAATTTATTTTGTATTCTACATAAGGCTAAGCTCGTTCCACATTTACAAGATTTGACAGTGTCAGATTTTGTGACAGTTACAAGATTTGACACAATATTAGGTCCTGTATTCCCACAGGACCTAATATTGTGTAAGAGGTATAATATGCAAGCTTGTTATTAATTCGTGAACAAAGAAATGTATGAAAAATACTAGCTGTTGCCCGCGACTTCGTCCGCGTAGAATAATGACTTCTGGCAGAATTTAGGCTTTTGAATTAG